GGGGGAGGGGGGGGCGACAGGCATCATGCCACTGTCCACGGGCGACGAGGAGGACTGCGAGAGAGCAGGAGGTTTCTGCGAAGCGTGGCGTCTCAAAACTTCAGCCTAGGCGACTTTGGACTGCAAAATGAGACTGCCGCTAGGGCGGGGTGAAGCCGTCGATGGGCCTACCACATGGCATAGGTTGGTGGTGGCCACCAGATGAATAGCAAGGGTCCTGTCATGGCTGTGTGTCTTGACATGCTGAAGCTCCCGTGCAGCCAGCCAGCCAGCCAGCCAGCTAGCTGCATACTGGGGAAGGGGATTGTATCGCGGGTTGCCGGGTGGTAGGTAGGTCGCAGATACGGGTTGTGCGTATCTGAAATGTGGGGCGGGGTTGCAGAAAAAGGCCGGCGGTCGGCGAGGCATTGGACGCGGAGATGGCTGCCCAGTCTGGTAACTGGATGCTGTGCCGTTGAAGCTTCTGAATCGCGGATCAGCCAGATGAGGATGCCAACGCCGTGCAATGGCCACCCCGGAGCTGACTGCAGTCGAAGCGCGGCAGGCATTTCCGTCTCTGATTGACAACAACGCCAATTTGCCTTACCTGTTTGTATTGTTCCAATCCCGCCCGGCCGAAGACGCATGCGATGGGAGGTCAGGCCAGGTTGGTATGCCAATGGGGATTGGGATACTGAGAGCTGCATAGATGGAAGGAACATGATGGTGGCATGGTCATCGGGAGTACGCGAAGGTCTGGGTAACAAAACCAAGACAGCCAGTGGGGGGGGTGGCCGGTGGGCAAGTCCTCGTCTGAGGCCGTCCTGCTGGCCAAAGTTTCGTTGTAGGTACCATAGCAGGCATGATCACGGCGGTAAGTACATGTGAGTGTTGGAGAAGGTGCTATCGCACGACGAGGAAGCAGCGACAGAGGCCATCGGCCATCACCGCCTGCACTACTTTTAGGTGCCTTGGGCTGAGCAGCCATCAGGCATATGCGCACTCTTCCTCCGTTGAAGCCATTCGATCTTTGTCCATCGTCCACCACACATTTTCCTAATCGTACCAACCATCACCCACGTCCCGAGGCAGCTATCAACATCAGAGGCACCTAGCGCGCACCTTCGGGAGGCTAGCCAGTGCGCCACCGGCGCGGTCCTATCTATGCCACGCCTATCTCGCCGAGACCCGCTCAAGAACCCCCAAGTCCCGAAAGAGTCCACCCACGCCAGTCCTCTCTAGCATTTCACGTATCAATCTACCAACGAACCTCCGGTTGAAGGATCCTCTTTCAGCCTCGGTACCCAACTCGGCGTATCACCTTCCTCCACAGAACACTCACCAGCAGCCCGTCGCTATTACCAACACAGGTCAGATACAGAAGGCAGGACGTGCAAGAGAGGCTGCATCTGTGACCATCGCGGTCGTACTTGTGTTGCCAGGCGTTCTGGGTCTGCTACTGAATGACAGTTGAGGGCGAGCCCAAGGCCCTGGTGGTCCTACACTATTAATTTCCTTCCGCGCTCGAACAAGGCACGTTGCGACAGGCTACATCGCATATCCCGCCGCCGGAGTGTTGGGACATCGACCTAGGTCCATCATCTATCACGACTTGGTGAGAGCTGAGAGGTCGTCCAGCTCGTCCCAGCCACTGACCCCAAAGCTGTCGTCGACCTTTCTGTCGGTCATTAGCCGCCGAGCCGACGGAGAACTCCCCAAGAAGAGCCTTCCAGTATCCCCTCGCCCGGACATGACCCAGACGTATGCTGAGGCATGCCAAGGTTCCACGACAGCACGCCGTGCACTGGCAGTCAAACTCAATAACACGCGGCTCACACACCTGAACGCTTGACATCACCCCTGAGATCACCTTTGTAATTACCCAAGCCAGTCAACGAGACCAGCCTGTGCCAGTCTCGTCAGTGTCGGCAATGAAGTTGGAGCACACGACACACAATATAATTCAACGTGCTGGGAGCCCACAGAAGACATGGCGCCGACTATGCCTCACCGCCCGTGCCCGACGAGGGCTAGCAGTGGCCGTCGAATGTCTGTTTAGCGGCACGATGACGCCCTTGAGCCTCATCTCGTTTGCTGAGGCATCGTGGACGCCGAGTGGGTGCCCCGTCCTGACTTTGCTCACGCACACGGATGATGACGACGCCGCAAGCAGCACCAGGAAGTTTGTACTACTGGCTATGCTGTATTCTGACCGACTGACACACGAATAAATTGTGCTCGGGGTTCTGGCTGGCCCGTGAGGTCCGATGTTGACGACTGAGCGAGCCCATTGGCTTGGTTGTAGTCGTGACACGGCATCACAGCATCCTCATCATGGTTGGCCTATCGACATCTTGCTCCAACCGGGTGGCAATAGCACTGTGTCTCGTCGTTTTTTGTGGCCCTTTGGCCGTGGTCGATAGCCTGTCGTCAGTCCGGCTGTCCGAGTCCCGACGCCAACGCATAGGGGCTATAGCGATGATGTTCACTCCAGCGGTGAGCGCGGCTCACGCTCCGGAGCCGACTACTGGAACGACTGCCGGCGCTCCTACGTGGGTGACAGTTTGACGTCAGGGGATCCCGAGCGCTAGGGAGGATCACGCGACAATGGAGGACAGCGGCCAGCACACGGATCCTCGAGACGATACGACGCGAGAAAAAGGCGCGAATGTCCCAACGACTCGAGGGGTTAGGTTCCACTATTTAATCCCGCGGCGATGTGCAGCGTAGGCGATCACTCACAGCCGCGTGAAGCATCCCCACGACACTCGCCCTTCATGATCGTGGGAGAGCGTGGGAGCTCATGCAACTGGTGCATCACACAAGTGAGCGGAGAGAGGACCCAAGTTTCAGCCCAGGCCCTCGCTGAATGGCGGTCTGCACGACGCTCTGCTGCAAGATGTCCTCATGCGGCCCATGTCGGACTGGCTGGACGCGCTTCGATTGGGATTTGATGTTTGGTCGCTTGGTCCCGGAGGGGAAGCATGACGTCAAGCTTGAGGACCCTGCGTTTTACTCTGCAGCCCACCTTTTCTCGTTCGAGCCCATCAATCATTGTCAACGTAGAACGCCCAACCTGCCAAGCCTGCTTTTTATTCTCTCTCCGCTGCTGCATCGCGCCAATCCGGGCTGGCATCGTGGCCCGTTGAGGTAGGTCCGGCCGCTGCTGCTACTGCCATGGGTGTTGGTTGATGCTTGTTGGGAGTCCTCCATCAGCCCCTTTCCCCCGCAATCCTGTCAAGAGGTCAAGAGATCGACGCCTTGTGACGCTTTTCCTCAGGCGACCCTGGGCGACACTGCATTTCTTCAATCGCCGCCCCCCCCCCCTTGCATTTACTATATATTCCCCTTGGCTGCCCACAGCTGGACATCGTGACGCTATGTGCACTGCATCTTTATCCTTTTGCTAAGCTTCATTGCACTGCGCTTGGTTCTCTCTCTTGTCTTCCTGGAATATCATAATCCAACTCACATGGCACGCCATCAAAGGTATCCGGCAAGAGAAGTCGATGCCGGCTATCCCCCTTACGACGAGCCACCGCGACGTGTTGCCGACCCCTATGATCCTTATCCGCCGCCACGTTACGCCGAGAGGCAACGCCGACAAGAACCCAGTTATCACGATGATAGGTTCTCTCGAGACTATCCTTCTGGCTCAACGCGACGCAACTCCAGAGATGTTCCTTTTGAACGCCACCAACACGATGTACGGCCTGTCCGCGGCGCCTCCGAGATGAGGCCTAGTCGCGGTGGCTTCAACAACTCTCCCGAGCCCGCCCCAAAGTCCAGGCGCGGCCGTAGCGAAGCACCACGATCCTCACACGCGCCAAGATCAGAGTCTCCTGAGGCATATCGGCACCGAGCCACCCACAGCCGCCCAGCATATGATCGAGACGATGACGCATACAGGAGGAATACCAGAGCCAGAGCAGGGTCTCTGGATCAAGGATACGGCCCAGCCTCCAGCCGCGAACGTCAGAAATACCCCCCACGCGCCGCTGACACACGCCACTCTCGTTATCCGGCCTATGGCCCCAGCCATCCCGATGATGCTGGCGAGGATGACTTTCGCCGCCCAACAAGAGCGCGCACTCAGCCCATCCCTCCTCCACCACAGCATCACGAACGCCGCGCGGAGCCCGACTCGCACTATCCGACCCGTGGTCGTGCTCGCAACATGTCCCGTGGGCCCGACCATGATCCTTACCATGAGGCTCCCTCTCATGCCCCGCCTCGTTCCCGCTCTGTTCCAAGCAAGCCCACAACCCCCGAGCCCGCAGCAGGCGCCGCTCCAAAGCGAGAAAGGCCGCCGGCTACGCCGCCATAGGCGCCGCCACCCGCATGGCCATCCAGGCCGCGCTCAGGCTGCCTACAAGCTTCGTGACGACCCATCCCCGTGGATGGCGAGAAGGCGTTCGCGTCGCACTGCCGCCCTTTGGCGCAGCTCGTCGACGCTTCGTCGGCTCCAAAGCGCTCCCCGGTCAAAAAGGGCGGCATGCGCCACCAGGCCATGAAACAGGCGGCCGAGGCGGGCATCAGGAACTTTGTCGTCCAGCCTGCCACGACGCATGCGCAGCAGCACGTGCACGACGCAAGGAAGAAACGATAGAGTCCCTAGACTATGTGTGTCTGTGGTTCTGATCCAAACTTTCCCGATCTGCCGCTCTTGTCTTTCTTGCATTTTCGTACCCCACATACCGACATGTGTGATACATTCAACTCGACTATGACCTTCAACGAATGAACAGAACGGACACATTGGATATGCGCTCTCTTGGACGACGAGGGAGTAGGCGGCGTTATGAGGTTTATGATACCGATATGATCTTTGCACAAGGCAATTCTCCAGAAAATACCATGGTTGCGGTCGCCTAGTGTCTCTTCTCAACTCTTGCCTGTCGATACTAGCCTAGTGAAATCAATACCCCCCTTTGATCGAGACGCCACTTCAGACTGTGATTTGCTATGAGTGAATTTTGAGGGCTGCTGAGAAGCCATTGACATCACAGGCAAGCCATGTCTCTGATTTGCCATCCCGCCCTTCACCAAAGTCCGGAAGCAAGCTGAACCGAGACTCTCTCTCACCCCCCGTCACCTCGAAACACATACACGTCTGGGGGGACAGTAGTACTCTACACAAGCACATGCTTCCGGCCCGGGCCATGATGTCTGGGTCACAACCTTTCAGCCGCTGTCTGACCTCGTGTCGATCCGGGGCACTCCCATTGGCGTATACGTGTCTCGCCCGCCACTATAAGTGCCTTCATGTCGTGTCTTGTGTCCACGCAGTACCCTCGCTTTTTGCCAGCCGCAGCCTCTTCAATCAGTTTTGTCGCTGCTGCCAAGCGGGCCTGGCACGGTTTCCAACGTGGGCGTCTGCAGCGGGTTTTCAGCATTAGTTGCCAGCTCCTTCTCATCGACCGTTTCAGCGGCGCCGACTTCCTCAGGCGTGCCGCCCGTCACTACACCTTGGGTGTCTTGAGAGTTGCCGGCTTCCATCGCCGCGAGGCGAGCAGCGCGACCTTCCTTCTTCCGTGGTTGGGGAGCTGGAGAAAAGTCAGATTCCGTTTGTCAACAACTTAGTTGGTCGCCTTACCTCGACCGTTTTCCTGGACGTAGAAGCGCCGCAGTAGGCCCACGGCCTCCTCGCGTCCCCATCCGCCTTCGATCTCGAAACCGCGCTCAACATTTCCGCCATCGCCATCCGGGTTGGACTGTGGCATATGGTATTGTCCGTTCTGTGGCTTGGGAGCTAAATGCGTCGACTGAGCTGACTGAGCTGACACGGGTCGTGAAGGGGCTGTTGTGCCGCTGTCATTATTGTCTGATTCTGAGGGCAGTTCCTTAATGTATGGTCTGTCCTGTGGCCTAATAGAGTTCAAGTGAATACTGAAGACGCCGCCAGCACCACCGAACTTGTCGTTCACAGCGCCAAAGTAGACTTTGCGAATTCCTAGCTGTCTGAGCAGCCCGGCGCACATGACGCACGGCTCGACAGTTACGTATAGCACTGACTCGCGAATGATGGAGCGTGGCACGCGAGGGTCGGGATGTTGCTTCTGGCCATACGGATAGAGATGGCCATTCTTCACATACGAAGTGTCCTTCAGGCTGGGGTCAGGACCAAGCTCGGCATCCTTCTCGCGGTCTCGCTGCTCGCGCTCGGCAGCGGACATCTCGGTCGGGACATGTCGAGGTTCGGCAGCTGCGTCATCCGATGTCACGCCCATGGGACGGTAGGAAAGGAGGGCCGAGACGGCCATGAACTCGGCATGGCGAGTACCATTGCGCGTGACATTTGTTGCGTTCATGCCCTTGGCGATGACTTTGTTGTTGTGAACGATGACGCAGCCGACGGGCGTCTCGTTGGTGCGGAGCGCAAGGCGAGCCTGGGAGAGTCGGTCAGCTTCCTTTCCCTCGAGAACCTCAGAAGCGCCACGCATACCATATCCAGGGCTTGGTCCATGAAGCCGTGGTGAGTTGCCTTTTCACTATCCGTGTCAGCTTCCTGCTGTGAGGGGCCAGCGGAGGAAGCTAAGCCTGCTTTCCCGGGCGACGCATCGTCCAGCGACAGGCGAGCCATCGAGCCATCGAGGCCGCTGGACGCAGGCGGTCGATTCTCTTGGTTGGCATGGATCGACATGTTGTTTGTTGGGGAGACTGACTCCGAGGCGTTACTTTCGACGTCCGGTTTCGCGTCTGGTCCGTTATCTTCTGACTGCGCAGAAGCTGTTGTGGTGGTGTCCTCGGATTCGCTGTACTGAGACGAAGACACAGAAGATGGAGAGCGGGGGATAAGGCGGCGAAAGAAGCGATTCAGAAATCGACCCGTAGATAAAAATCGACGATTCCCCTCAGGCGTTGAGGCTGATTCTTGTTGTGCATTGGAAGAAGAAGCAGCAGTTGTTGGTGGTGTTGTTGCCACTGCCCGGGACAATGACTGCCCCGAGGCAGGAACCGGGGCCTGATTCACCATTGTAGAAGTTGCGCTTAGTGTGTAGTACCTTCCTCTCAAGATTTTCTCTCTTTCCACGGTATCGGCAGTTGAGGTTGACCAGCAACGTTTCGCCAGCCAGGGACACTTCAGTGCGAATGATCCTCTCAACCCGCTCTGCAGTTGAGCGTCGTCCAAAGAGAGAATCGACTTCCAACACGTCTCTCAATCCGATTCACCTCTAATCCAACGGTCTCACAGCTTTCTCTCCCTCAAGAACAAGAGAATAAGAGAATAATGAGGAACAAGGTGTGTTGTGCCACCAGTCAGCCACGGGCCTCAATGTTGCATAATGACAAGGCCAAGTGCTGAAGACCACTTCACATCAGTACCAGACCAGAACAAGGCTCAGGGACGGGACTTTACCACTCAACCACTTTGAACGCCTAAGAAGAATGACTGGACTATTGCACACGGAGAGCGACTTGAGTTTCGTTTGCTGGTGTCTTTGACGGAGAATATTTTCAGAACTTCAACGTCCACCGAAGTGGAGCGCAAACACGTGATCACGTGATATCGAGCGACATATCTCGATGTTGGTGCCTGAGAACTTACAGCCATCGTTACTTCTCCATTGCATTCAGAGTCTTTATGAAGTATTGAATACTGAGCGGAACTTTCTATTACCTGTACCCTGCAGTGTTGCCATGTGGGTGGGTGGAAAACGGAAACGCACGTTGGTAGAGATGCTCGTCCAGTATGCTTATCACGACATGTTGAGTGGGCCATCAATTAAGCAATGGGGAGTGAATTATGGACACCTGCTCGAGAGAGATATTTCAGCCAGAAGTGCGGACAGAGACACAGTCACGATCACGCAAGGCCCAAATTTCAGCCAAATCAGTAGATTATCGACAGACCTCGGGGCAATAAGCGCACACATCCCAGCTACCTCACCTCCCCAAGCCCGTCCAAAACCCTTCACACTGACTGACCCATATGCCGGTCCCGGCAAAACCACCACCAAGGCAGAAACGTGGACCAAAATGAAGAACAGAGGGGTATCTCGAAAAACCAAATATGCTCCCAAACAACCGACAACAGTACACACGCTAAAGTGTACAGCTACACGGCGGAGCACCCCCGTCAGCAAGCGGCATCATTGAGTAACGACGCAGCGGAGGAACGGGTATGCCGCATCCAAGCCAATAGACAACAAGAACGAGGTGGCCCATCTTTTACCGAGTGAGCGCCAGCAACCTAGAAGTCGCCAGGCGCCCCATCGTGGGATAGAACGTGTCCATATGGCGACACTCGTTATGTGCTGTGAACCTCCAGCTCTCGCATCGTCGAGAGAGGAAGCTCTGCTTGTTGTCTTGACTCCTGGATAAGGGAGTGGTTTTGTGGATTCTCTGATCCGTACCTGACCATGCGGTCTGGGGGCAGTAGAGCGACCCCAGGGCGACAAGCCCAAGCACAAAGGAAAGGAGGCATACCGCCCTAGACAGGGGTACGCAACCAAGAACGCCGCATGCCACCACCATGCTAATCGCATGGGGTGTGGGCAGAAGGCTTGACATAGTCTCGCCTGCAGATGACACGGCAACGGAAGTCCCAGGCACGCCGCTGCTGCGTACATCGAGGGCACGGGGCATAATTGCGAGGCGGGCTGACGACGAGAGCTGTGACTTCTGCATTGACGCACCAGTCCTTAGTCGTGCAGCGACCGTTGTCGACGATGACGCGTCCGAAACGGTAGTAATCTCGGAAGTACCAGCAACCGAAGGGCGTAAGCTTGATAGTGGTGCTGAACTGGCCGCCGCGATATCGCACATGGCCTCACCAGTCGCACCGCGGGACCGAGGTCGAGACACAAAGTCTAGCCTGCCACGACCGGTGGACGAGCTGTTTTGACGAGTTGCGGACGATACTGTCCTTGGCGCATCTGTAAGAGGTTCATCCTGACAACTGGTTAGTGGCATCGGCATGATTTGGGACAGGTATTGACATACCACTTGAGTATCGGGGAGTTTGTGGAGATGCTGTAGATGGTGCACCGGACGCTTGGCTCTCATCAGATGAAAACCAGCGGTGTGTTCTGTGTCTGCGTCTGCCTTCCTACACCCAACGTCTCCGCACCAGAGTTGTACCAAGGTAGGCCCGCTCGGGCCATTCTGAATCTCAAGGTATCCGGGCAGAGAGCCAATCAAGCTAGCGCTCGCTGTAGGGGTTCGACGAGGATGGACGGGCATTGGAAGCCACGTTGTCGCTCCTACGTTCCCCGTGGAAGTTGGCAATGTCGTTGACAGGCAGAGACTCATCGTCAATAAAGCTAGCAGCAGGCGAGAACAGATCAAAGTCGACGTAGTTGGAACCAGAGCTGCCAGCACCCATGTATGGGAGAGACGGTGGCGTAGTTGGTGGTCGAGAGACTGGCTGAGACTGGGCAGTGACGGCTGGCTGAGAGGAGGATACAGAGCTGTTCGAACCGGGCGAGAAGTGACCGGCAGGGTCGAAGAAGAAGTCGTAGTCAACAGGGACACCATACATGGGCTCATCATCGTAGTGAACGAATGACTCCCAAGACTCTTGGAACTCGATTGTGGTCGCGGGAAGCTCAAAGCCGGCAAAAGCGTCATCCATGCTGAAGGAAGACGCATCGAATATGCCTAAATCTTGTGGCGCGGCAAGTGGTGGTTCGGTTGCGGCTTGCTTGAGCTTCTTGGAAGGCTTCGGTCGTGATTGGGATTGAGAGGGTGCCGGAGCCTGTGCCTGTGTCGTCGTGCGCTTCTTGTGGCTAGGGTCGCATCGGATCTTCTTCTTCTTGCAGGCGTCGCACGCCTTGATGATTCTCATCAAATGTGCGTGGTCGCGCTGCTCCTTGGTCTTGCAGCCGCGAGAGGCCGAGTTTGTGATGTCCAGACCATCACGGGTCATGATCTTCATTCCGGGGATGTGTGAGAAGTCATTAGCGGGCGATCGAGATGAGGAGGCGACGGCCTTCTTTGGGGCCTTCTTGGCGGCCTGCTGGGCAGCAGTATCTTGGAAGAAGGAAGCAGGGGTCGCGATGTCGACAGAGGCAGGCGTCGAGAAGCTACCGTCCGAAATCACAGGAGACACAAACTGGGATGCGTATCCGGAATCCTGGGCGGGGCTTGAACTGGCAGACGAGGTTGCCGTGTTACGTGCTGCTACTGGGTAGTACCTGAAGGTCTCGCCGGTCAAGCGAGAGTACTCGAAGAAGTCCATGGAAACGAATGAGCGCTTGTCCTGGATGGAAGCATCCCCGGGAATGTAGGCATGGATTAGCTCGTCCAGCAGCTGGCTGCCCATAGCAGGAATGAACTGCAGGGCAGCGCCCAGGTTTGGGCTGCGAAACCGAAGAAGCCCTGCACGGAGTCGTTCCGAAAGCATGGCTGTCATTGTGGTAGGGTGAAAGTTGACGGCAGGTCTGGAGTGGCGTTGTATCCTCAAGACGGAGTTTTGATAAGGTCTAAAGCTGGCGTGAGAGATAGCCAGACTGGTGGTTCTTGAGGTGGATTCGACGTCAGAGGTCAGAGAACCTGGGCCGAGATGAGCTGATGCACGATCCGAGTGGCAAGCTGCAAGCCCAGTAACTCACCTTGGTGTAATGGCAGTTGTCGTGGATGATGGATGTAAGGGTTTAATGAATATATTCTGGTGTCGGTACTTGGCATGCAAGTCACGGTAGAGGGGGGCACTGAGTAAGCGGCCGTGGGCCAGGAGTGCAGTCCGACAAATACTGATCTGGAACTCGAAGCTATCGCTAGCTTGGTGGATCGAGCAATTCGTGGCCTGATGTGATCAGGAAGATTCGGTGGCGAGGATATGGTGAACGGGAGGAGAAGGAGGGCAGTCTAGATGTTGCCCGACGGGAGTCACGAAGGGTATTTCAGTGAGCCATCGGACAGGCGCACCCTCCGTGATCCAGGAAGGCGCAGTGGGTGGTTTGGGATGAGACCGTCGGCGAGCTGAAAGGGGAATAGCGCCTAGACGCGGACCCTCCTTCTGTCAGCCAACCATATCGACACATAGACTCGAAGAGGGGCTAGAATGGAGCCTTTATTGGCCGGTTCAGCCCACTCCTGCACGGATGCTGCAGGCTCTGTCGGCGAGGACGCATGAGGCTGATTGGCCAATGGCGCGGGAGTCAGAGTCACGTGATCACATGTGAGTCAACGCAAGCCTCGGATCCTCATTGCTGCATTGAGCATTCGGTCTATCTGCAGGTGCCGATAAAGAGAGGGAGGTACGAGTATGGGTAGCTTGTCATCAGAAGGAACCACGCAAGGTCTAGGCAGCACCGGTCCCCATTGGAGCCTCCAGAATTGAACCGCTGCTATCAAGAATACGAAGCCGCTCTGCTGAACATACATGTACACCTACAGACGAGGTAGCTCGACTTAAGGGGTCAGCTCCCGCGGTCCCACCCGCCCAGTAAAGGTGCACCCCGTGCTTGGCGGGCTGGCGACGTGGGTGGAGGTACATGCTGAAAGTACCTGCCTAATGGAAGGTCAGAATTTAGTGAGGGTCGATCACTGTTGTGAGATCCGAGGACAAAGGCACACTGCAAGGCGGAAAGCACGGATACGACATCCATGAGTCAGCCCCACCTCTTGAAGCCACTGTGGCAGTCCGGCAAAAGCTCGCTTCTCCAGCACGACGCCGCGATATCCATACGAGTGCATGATGCTACTAAGGTCTACAGGAGAGATCATGCAATTCATCTCATCCCAAAGGTATCCGTGCCTTACTGGACGCGGCGCACGCCTCTCTACGTCTATAGCCGCGTGCAACTGAGTAGCAGAACATATGAAGATCTAGATCTTCTGGAATGCAATATACCGCTCACGAATAGAGTTCATCCATTCGCCAGCTTTAAACGCCTCTCCGATTAATGCACCAGTATTCTGGGGAGCCCGATGGTTTTCTCCTCTAACTTCTTTGTACTCGATAGCCGGCAAACTCATGAAGGCCGCCCAATTCCTAGCAGATCGTGTGCTTGTATGCTCCATGGACCCCCGTTCGCTCGCGTGAAGACAGGCAAAGTGGCAGACGAAGGGCCAGTTGGCTCCTCGGCCGACCGGTTCCTCGTGGCGGCATCCAGATTCGTGGACTCTCGCGCCGCTGTAGAGGCTCTAACGCCAGCAGCCTGAGGTATGGCACGAGAAAGGCTGGCTCGGACAGCGCCCCCAAGTTTACTAGGCCTAGTGGGAGGGACAAACTTAGGAAGCCTTGCCTTCTCTCTGACGTCCTTTGGACGCGTTTTCTCGGCATCAGCTTGCTTCGCTCGAGCCTCCTTCTCTCGAGCCTCTTTGAGCTGACTCTCCTTTTCCCGAGCTTCTAAGCGAGCCTCCCGTTCCAGAGCTTCCTTCTCTCGAGCTTCCAGACGCGCCTCCCTTTCTCGTGCTTTCCGTTCACGATCTTCTGCTTCCCTCGCCTCCCGTTCGCGGACTTCTCTTGCCAGAGCCTCTCTTTCTCGCTCTTCCTTCTGTTTGGCCTCTCGTTCTTGAGCCTCCTTTTCGCGGGTCTGTTCCTGTCGGAGCTCTTGCTGTCGTTGCTCCTCCTCCTCTCTAGCTCTCCTCTCCTTGGCCTCACGTTCGCGAGCCTGTCTTTCACGAATCAGCTCTTGCTGTAGCTCTTCTTCTCTTGCCTTTCGCCTGCGTAGCTCTTGCTCGTGGGCTTCTAGACGACGCCTCTCGGCTTCTCGAGCTTCCCTCTCACGGGCTTCCTGACGTCGCAGCTCTTCTTCACGAGCTTGTTTTTCACGAGCTTGTTTTTCACGAGCTTGTTTTTCACGAGCTTGTTTTTCACGAGCTTGTTTTTCACGAGCTTCATGTTCGCGGATCTGCTGTTGGCGCAGTGCTTCTCGCCGAGCTTCGTCTTCGCGAGCTTCTCGACGTCGCACTTCCTCATCACGAGCTTCCTTCTCGCGGGTTTCCTGCTCGCGAGCTTGTTGTCGACGCAGCTCCTCTTGCCGAGCCTCCTCCTCGCGTGCTTCCTGTCGGCGCTTCTCTTCTTCCAGAGCCATCTTCTCCTGTCGTCTCTTTTGTCGAGCTGCTTCCTCACGCGCCTCCATCTCCCTCTGCTTCCTCTCAGATTCCTCTTGAACCTGCGTCTCCCGCAGCTGTCGTTGTCGATCTTCTTCTTCCCGTTCTTTCCGTACCTCCCTCGCCCGGAGTTGCCCTTGAATACGTCCCTCATCACCAGCTTCTTTCCTTCTGGCTCCGTTCTCCAGGCCTTGCTTGATGACCGCGGGTTCGTCTTCGTCGCTTGCGAACGTCATGGATTCACGCATGCGAGCGATAGCTGCTGCCTCTCGGGAACTATTGGCACTATCATAGAACCCAATGATCTCTTTGCTCTTGACGCTCCGCCGCAAGGTAGCCAAATGGGCCTATTGATCCTTGTGGGAGCTTGCGTCCGTTTGGTGGGGCGCTTCCACGGGAGTCGAAG